CTTAAATATCACAGTTAACAAGTAAACATGTTGCTACTGTAGTGTTTTACAGTGTGCTTGTGAAATACTGGAACAGGAAGTAGTATCTCCATGACGTCAATGCAGATATAGCAGACGCGTCAGCGGCGTCTGATTGGACACGTCGAGGCGGCTGGAGTTTTCGCATGCGCGGATCGGGCCGGCGGACGCTGCATGCTCATTGGCCGGCTGTACTGTACGCAGGAAACACAGTCAGTACAGTCAGTGGCGCAGCAGCTGAGGCCAGAGTCATTAATTACGTCACACTTCATTACGCTCAAGGTTAATACTGGGCTTATCTGCGACAAGGCCGTACTGCGCTCAATGCAGCGCCATTACAGCTTATCGCCACACGACAGACCAGAGATGCAGCCGCTGAAATATATCTGCTGTCATACAGTGCTAATGCTAACACTTCCAAACGGCCCAAACGCAGCCGGCTCATTCACAGGAGTGAGGCAGATGACAGAGATTAACACATAATTAACCTCCATCACCTCCAGCCGTCTCAGCAGCAGCACAGTTACAAACATCACACCGGACTCTGCAGCGCCTTTCATTAGAACAGATAGAGTGCTATTCTTTTAAAGCATTTTTAATCATTTATTATTTCAAGCGATAGTCCACCAAAACTGATCATTCTGTCTTCATTTACTCACCCTCATGTATTTCTTCTGTTGAACACAAAAAAAGATGTTATGAGAAATGTCTCTGTTAAGGCAGTGGGGTCTTCTTCCATCATTCTTTAAAATATTATGTTTTACTGAAGAAAGGGTTTGAACAACATGATTAGGTGATTAAATGAAAACAGAATGACGATTTGTAGTAACCTTAACTCACCTAAATTTTATTTATATAACACTTTCAAACCCATAAATGACCCTATCATGCAACTGCATAGCAACACCCTAGCAACCACCCAGGACAATATCACTCTATATGAATGGGTTTAAAACCTTTAAACTTTAAGCGTGAGAGTTAAAACCTTTAAACTGTAAGTGTGAGTGACTGCTGGTGTGAGCGACTGTTGGTGGGTGTGAGTGTTAGCATTAATGAGTTTTAGTGTGAGCCAAGTGTGAGTGAGTGAGTGAGTGAGTGAGTGAGTGAGTGTGTGTGTGTGTTTGTGTGTGTGTGTTTGTGTGTGTGTGT